AAGGTGGTTTTTATAAAAGCCCTTTGCTTCTTAGAGAATGTTATCACCACTAACATCCTATGCCTCCAACATGCTGCATTCCTTAAATCCAGAAACACCTGGAGTAATTCCCATTTCCTGTTCTCCCTGTTCTGGGAAATTTGAGGGATTGCCTGGAAAAGAACAGAGAAGGTAGGGGCTCCTAGTCTACAGCACAGCTATGTCAGCGGAGGCACAGGCTCCAGGCCTGCGAACTTCTAGAAAAATAATCGGGAAGTATTTACATATATTAGATATTTAAAGGGCCCTGATTGTGTTTATAATAACGATGATTTTGATGATTGCGACAGCAAAGCCTAAAGTGTGAAGGAGACCTAACCAGCTGGCGAACTAGGCATTTAGCAGCAATAAAGTTTCTAAAAAACTGCAAATACTAAATTTTCTGTGGCCATTTTATTTATGGACTTTTTTTTTTTTAATTGATTTGGAGGCGAGTGTAGAGAGGTGGGCAAGGACTCCACCTGATACTTTGTCTTTTTTATATTTCTGTTCCTGTTTCCTATTCAGAACTTCGTGAATTTTAAAACAAGTGCATATACTAAGTTAGAATTCACAATTTAAAATATCCTGTACTTTTTCAAAACCCTTTTTGGAAACACAAAGATTTTCTGTACCTCATCATTTATTTATTTCATAAATTTAAGTTTTGTGAAACTAGTCTTCTTAAAATGAAGCGTGCTTCAATTGCCATCTGAGGGTCAGCACTTCTGTGCCTCAGAACTTAACATAGAGCAGGGACTCAATAAATAATTCTTGAACAAACAGGTTATAAGCAAATGGCTAGATACATCTTTACCATGGCTATGGAGTCAATTTCAACTCATGGCAACTCCATGTGTTTCTGAGCAGAACTGCTCCAGAGAGTTTTCATGGCTATATTTGTGGAAGCAAAATGCTAGGCCTTTCTTTCCCAGCGCTGCTGGGTGGGTTCGAACCACCAACCTTTAGGTTAATAGTGGAGTGCAAGTTGTTTGTACCACTTAGTGACCTATTAAATATACCTAGTACTAACTAAATTAACCATAAGGGCCACATTGGGCTGCTTGGAGGTCCACATTATTCTTAATTAACCCAATGCGAGACCATCTTAAACAAAAGAAGTGAAAAACAGACCATAGGACTTATCATGAGAATCACAATAACGAGCAATTTTGGATTCTTACTGTTTAGAGACTTTAATTTCCCTTTGCCTGAATTCCTTCCTATATAAACTAAAATGAAACTTATCTCTGATTTTGCTGAATAGACATGGAGAAAGTAGGAGGGCCTTGTGGAGAGAAGGTGGCTCTGATTCAAGGCAAGACCCAACTGGGGAGGACCCTGGTGAGATAGCAGATGCAGGGAAATGTGTTAAGGAAGTATCTAGGCGTTGGTGGCCCAAAGATCTCAAAAGTGCTGCAACCAGTTAGAGGAAACAGACAACATTGTTCAAGAGCTGGCCCTGATAATCTAGACGGTTCCAGAAACCAAAACTGAGAGAATTTGTTACCCAACATAGTTAACTCATATTAAAGAAAATACTAAAAGGCATTCTTTAGACAAAGGGGGAAAAAATCTCAGAAGCCCAAGAGTGCAGGAAGGAATGAAGAAATGCTAAAACGTAAATATGTTTACACCTGTAAATGTATATGAAATATATAATACCATAATAATAATATCTTGTGAGATTTAGAATTAAAACACGCAACAGTAATCACATATAAATCTAGAGCATGGGGGCCAGGGAATGGAGTCAGAACAGATGTAAACTGAATCAAACACTCTAATATTTGCATTGCCCAAGAAGAGGGTAAAATAACCAAGTAACATTAGATTCTGATAAGTATAGAATGCGTGTCGCATAATGCGTGTATAATCCCCGAAAGAATAATAAAAGTCTACGTGTAATTTCTGATCCAAGAAGCCCTGGTGGCACAACGGTTAAGCACTTGGCTGCTAACCAAAATGTTGGCAGTTCAAACCCACCCAAGAGCTTGGGGGAAGAAAGACATGGCAATCTGCTTCCATAAGGATTGAAGCCAAGAAAACCCTGTGGGGCTGTTCTACTCTGTCACATGGGGTTGCTAGGAGTTGAAAATCATCTCGATGGCACCTAACAACAACAATTTCTAATCCAAAAAAGGGAATGAAGGAATAATACAAAGCATACAATCAACTAAAATGGAGGACAGAAATGAAGGAAAATTGAATTGGGAACAAATAGAATTAATGAAAACTACATATTTAATTAAATATATTGGTAATTACATTACAAAAACATCCAGTTGAAAGACAATGATTAGGAGATTAGATTAAAATATACAACAAACATGTACTCTTTAGGAGGGACACATTTAAAACATAAAAACATAGAAAGGAAGCAACCAAAATATAAAGATAAGTTAAAAAAAAAAAAAAAAGGGAGATATTCCGTGCAAATACTTCCAAAGGAAAGCTGGTGTAAGTATATTAATATTGGAGATAGCAGACTTATAGACAAAAGCATCCCTAGACATAAAAAATGACACTTCATAGTGATGAAAGTGTCAATTCACCAGGAAGAGTCGACAATTCTAAATTTATCTAATACATGCCCTCAGAATATATAAGAAAACTGACAGAATTGTAAGAAAAAAATGGCCAAATCCATAATCATAAAGACATTATAACACTCCTCCCTTGATAGAATAAGCTGATAAAATAACAACAAGAATATAGAAAATCTGAACTATAAAATTAACAAACTAGATCTGACAGACATACACAGAATGCTGTATTCAAAATTGCAGAGTATACAGAATTTTCAAGGACACATGTAACATATATAGAAGTTGACAAATGATATAACTAAAAATATAGAAATTAAGCTAGAAATCCATAACAAGAAAATAATTAGAAAATCTCGCTTTTAAAATTAAGATATACACTTCTAAGTAGCCAATAGTTTAAACAAGAAATTAACAATGAACATTATAAAATATTTTAACTGAATGATAATAGAAGTTCTACATATCAAAACTATAGATGAATGTACAGCTTTCTTAGGCAGAAATGGATGGATTTTAATGTATATGTTAGAGAAGAGTGAATGCTAAAAAAATCTTCTTAAAAATCCATTTTAATAAGTAAGAATGATAAATTCCTTATGGATGTAAGATGAAAGACAAAATAATAAAACTTCTGGAAGATAATGTAAGAGAATATCTTTATGACCTTGGAGTAGTCCAAGTTTTTTGTAAGCAAAGGAAAAAAACAAAAAAAGCATGCACTAGCCATAAAGGAAAAGATTAACACCTTGACTACATTGAAATTGCCTCCTGCTCACGAGCAGTCACACAAAAATGTAAGTGCCCCATAAGAAAAGATACGCAATATAAAACCAGCAAAGGGCTTGTGTCTGGAGTGTATAAAGACACCTGCAAGACAGCTGGAAAAAGATAGCTCAATAGAAAAATGGGCAAGAGACATGAATAGGCACTTCATGAAAGAACATATTCAGGTGGTCAATCAGGGAAATGCAATGAAAACCACAATGAGATATCACCACATATCCACCAAAATGAGTAGAAATAAAAACTGACAATACCAGGTGATGGCAAGGATGTGGAGCAATGGGACCTCTCAAACTGTACTGGTGGGAGTACAAATTTATTATCCACTTTGGAAAATAGTTTGGCATTACTGAAGTTGAAGATATACCCACCTTATGATCAAAAAATTCTAATCCTAAGCATATGCCCAACAGATACGTGTACCAAGACACATGAATAAGAATGTTCACTGAAGCATTATTTTAATAACAAGAAACTGGAAACAAACTAAATGTCTATCGATAATAGAATGAATAAATAAATTGTGCTATATTCATACCATGGAATACTATATAGCAAAGAAAAAGGAAAAACTACAGCTATATGCAATAGCATGGATGATTCTTACAAACACAAGGTTAAGCAAAAGAAATGAGATACATAGACAAAAATATACTGCTTTTTCCATTTACATAATATTAGAATATCAAGTAAAATTAACTATAGCAATAAGGGATGCATCTTTCAGTGGTGAAGCCAAAAAAGAAAGGATGAAAATCTTTACCCTGTAAGACAGGAAAACTGATGAGAAGGGAGAACAAGGGGCTTCTGGGGTTGTGGCAATATTCTATTTCTTTACCTGGGTGGTGCATGATGCTTACATTTTCTGGTCTGTGCTTTTTTTTTCTATATGTGTGTTTTATTTCACATTGAAAGATTACATAAATAAATCGCACATCTGATCATTTTAATAGCTCCCCTTGCCTTCAAGTTAAGAGTTCAGTCTCCTTACTTTTGCTTCAAGGTTCTTTGAGAGTTTACCCCTACTTAACCCACTACCCTGTTTCTCTATCACCCACGCTTAGCATCCTCTGCTGTAGTCTAGTGAATTAATTGTAGGTTCCAAAACGTGACGTCTCACTCATATCTTTTGCCTTAGCAAATACTGCTCTTTATTTAAAACTCCCCATCCTCATTCGTCTGACCAACTCTTAGCCATTTTTTAGGAGTTACCTCCTCCTGGGAGCCCTTCTGCTCTTTCTTAGGTGACATTTTAGCCTGTGATTCCCCCATGACAACACCTGCCACCCTACGTGGGATGTTTCTGTTTACTTGTCTATATCCCACAGGACAGTGTGTTCCTCAAGGAACACACTTTCTGTCTATGGAGCTTTAGTCGGTGCCTGGCACGTAGTAGACAAAAAACCAAACCAAATCCGTTGCCGTCAAGTCGATTCTGACTCATAGCAAGCCTATAGGACAGCGTAGAAGTGCCCCATAGAGTTTCCAAGGAGCAGCTGGTGGATTCAAACTGCCGACCTTTTGGTTAGCAGACATAGCTGTTAACCACTGTGCCACTGGGGCTCCATGTAGTAGATAGTCTGGCAATAATTTTCAATAAATGAATAAAGCCAAAACAGTGATTTTTTTTCTCTCTTTTGTGTTACCCAGGTGGATAATGAACAACTGAATTTAGCAAGCGAAGATATTGAAAGCATTGATGACATCAAATTAAGCCGTTTCATTGAGATCAACAACCTCCACTTGGTGACAGAGTACAACCCTCTGGTAAACAACAGCCCCTGTCTTTAGCCCCTGAGGTCCGTGTGTCAGGGAGGGCACTTGTCTTCATAGAGGAGATCCTGTCCTCCTGGAGTTCTGATTCTTTGACCAGGAGTGACGGTGACTGTCATGAATTGCAGACCTCACTGGAACATAATGTTTATGTTACCATGTTTACAGTGGCCCTTTGAGATTGATAGACCTGTCCCTATTCAACAAAGAAGGAAACTGAGACTCAGAAAATTAAATGGCCTCTCACATGACCAATAAGAAAGAGAACCAGGGTGAAAAGTTAAGGAGACTGATTCAAAAACTTCGGGGTTTTGCTGACTGGGAGTGCTCCGTGAAGACAGTTTTGACCAGAGCAACACCAGGCTTCTCAAACTAGATTTCAATCTGTGCTGAAGGTCCATTTTTAAAACATTGGTGGCAGACACTTTTGTAAAATGCAACAAAAATAAATTACTGCACAAATTTTAAAAATCAAGCCCCCTGATCGCATACTTGGATGTCATGATAGTGCCAAATTTCTATTAGTTTCTAAATACCTATTCCCATTTTCTGTGCCCATCTCATTGTGGACCAGTGGCAAGCAGATCCTGGCCTGGCTCTCCCTGCAAACCACACCTTGACTAGCACATGTCTAGCCCCTCAGGGTGTCTTAGCCTTCTTTCCAGTTTTGCCTTCCTCTGGCTTTGCATGCTGCTGTGCCTGGGTGGAGCCCTGGTGTTGCAGTGGTTAAGAGCTTGGCTGTTAACCAAAAGGTCGGCAGTTCAAATTCCCTTGGAAACCCTATGGGGCAGTTCTACTCTGTCCTATAGGGTCAGTATGAGTCAGAATGGACTCAACAGCAACGAGTTTGGTTTTTTGGTTTTGGTGCCCGGGTGAGGAGTCCATGGGTGGGGCAAACAGTTAGTGCACTCGGCTGCTAACCAAAACGCTGTAGGTTCAAGTCCACCCAGAGGCACCTCAGAAGAAAGGCCTGCCACTCTACTTCTAAAACGTCAGCCATTGAAACCCCTACGGAGCACAGTTCCACTCTGACACACATGGATTGTGTGTCAGAATTGACTCGAGAGCAACTAGTTTTTACTGGGGTGCCTGGGTGAAGGGGCCATCAACCCCAATCGTTTTCTGCCTCTCTAATACTCTACAGTTTATAGAATTATCTTATATATCCTGAGTTTTATTTTCCCTGACATAGATCATAGAGTGATGAGAGTATTTGTTTCTAGTGATCCACGTCAGCTCAGAAATGCTGTGTGTTCTCCAAAAACAGCACTTTACATGCATTTCATGATATTTAGAACATACAAAGAACATTCACACCCATTTTCTCATTTGATCCTCACATCAATTTTTTGAGATAGAAGAGAGGAATTATTATACCCCTTTTATAGAGAACACTCAAGATCCAAACGACTTATTCAAGGTCACACAGTAAGTACAGAAGGCATAATTTAAGGCAGAAAATTTGCCTGAGGATGTTTTAGCTCACATTGTCTGTTTTCATTTTATAAGAGAGGAAATAGAAGTACAAAAAAGTTAACTTCTTCAAGGCCATATGGCGATTAACAATTTGAGCTTCAGAGACAGCCCTATTCACTCGCCCCACCTTTTTTTTGTTTTTGTTTTTTTATGACTCCTGTGTCTGACTGAACCCTGTGGTTTTTCCACTGCCCACATGGCCTCTAATAGAATGCACCACTTTTCCTGTTGACTAATATTCTGTCCAACTCTCCCAACATGTTTGTCTCCATAGAGCAGTGACTCCATTTTCACTTTTGCTGAGATACTACCACATACACTTCTGGAAAGTTGCCAGTAAATCATCAGACAGGATTCTTCTCTAGACCATCTCATTCTGGATGATCTCATGATCCCTGGATTTATAGCTCTGATGTCCTGGAGTACTCCAGGCCACCAAAAACAGGGGCAAGGACTGACCCTTCCTGCATCCTAATGCCTCGTCCATTTCTTATCTTACAGAGCAATGAGTTTTCTATTTTTTTTTTTTTTTAACTTCAACATTAGTAGTGAAGGCAAATCACATCAAGGGAAAATTAGGTAAGAATTACTTTATAGAAGCAAGTTCAGTCTTGATTGTGACTTTTTAAACTCCCCAAAAAAGTTTTTTTTTTTTTTTTTTTTTTTTTTTCATTTGGTGGCCTACCAAAACTACTCTAGCTGGGCAGAAAACCATAGCCATGTCCTTGGACTGCTACGCACTTTTATCGCACACACTCAGTACTTGGCTTCAGGACGAAGACACAGGCTTTGTCAGGATTAAACTAAGCCCTTTGCTATGCCCAATCCCTTCTTCTAAGAGAATTGTACCTTTTGATTCCCTAGCTCCTACTTCTTATCTCTTCCTGAAATTTTACCCTCCATCTATACTCTCTAGGCAGGTGGATACATGCTCTAACATTAAGTAATAGGATCTAGTAAAACAAGAATCAGTTATTTACCAGCCAGTCTCCCAAATTAAAAATCTAAGAGCTCTAGGGGAAATCCATGGGAAAGAGCTGGCCGCTGCCTTGCCTACATATCGGCCCCCTGCAGCCATTGGAGACTGAGAATCCCTACAGAGATGTGTGTAGCTTCAGGAAGGACCCTACCTGGTTGTACCCCTTTCCACCATCCTGGGACTCTACCTGATGAGTCATTAACCCACTCTATCACTCCCTCCTGTGTACATGCTACTTGTATAGCAATGCTTTCTGTATTTAGAAGGGAGAGGTGAAAAGGAACAGGATTTGTTTAAAATAGAAATACTTGCAACACTATTTCAGGAACGTGGACTGTAGGAGCCAACACAATAGTTTACTCCTTCCCTCCTTTCCTTCTCTGGTTCCCTCAGCCTCCCTCCTACTCCCTCAGTCACTGACAACTTTCTGTCTCTAAGTCAGAAAAAAAGGGCCCATACTTCTGGCCTCCTGAAGAATTCACCTTTTTGCTGAACTGAGGCAGGCTCGTTCAACCAAAGGAAGTTTTGCCATCAGCTGTATAGGAGTCAGTACCTCATGGTGGTTAAGAACACAGGCTCTGAGCCAGTCTGCCCAGGTGTGAACCCCAGTCCACCATTTATTACCCATGTGACTTTGGGTGAGTTACCTAACCTATCTGTGCCTCACTTTATAAAACTGGGTCTTTAATGGTTAAATTAGTAATTATATGTAAAGTGCTAAAAACAGTACCTGGCACATAGTAAGTACTCAGAATGTATACACTAGTAATATGGAGTCAAAGGCCACATTTTAAGCCTATCAGATTGGTCTTGCAATACTAAGAGGGGGTTGAAAAAGAGTGAAGTAATTAATCACTGCATAACAAATTACTCTAAACCTTAGCATCTTAAAATATTTTCTGTGGGTCAGAATTCAGGAGTGGCTTAGCTTGGTGCTTCTGGCCCAGAACCTCTCAAGAATTTGCAGTCAAGATGTTGGCCAGGGCTACAACTGAAGACTTGATTGGAGTTGGAGGATCTGCTTGCAAGATGGCTCACTTGTCTGTAGCTGGCAGGTTGGTGCTGGCTGGTAGTAGAATGCCTTAGTGCTTCGCTACATGGGTCCCTCCATAGGGCTCCTTGAGGGCCCTACACTGGGACTAACTTTCCCCAGAGTGTGTGATACAAGAAAGAGCAAGGCAGAAGCCATAATATCTTTTGTCACCTTTTATTATTAGTGTGATTACCTAGTCACACTCCGCCTATTTTGCAATATCCTATTAGTTTCTCAGATCAGCCCTGTTCAGTGTGCAAGGATGATAAGAAAACCAGAGAGTGAGACTTCCTGAGTGCCATCTTGGAGGCTGCTTACCATTCATGTTAAGGGTAGACAACTCTCACTTATGTTTCAGTATACCCATTCACTGGATTGTCAGTAAAGTTTCTTCTCTCTCCCTCTCTCCTGATAACATATTTCAATTTGCCAGTCTGTGGTTGGCCTATTCAACAGCTTGATTCCGATTCATCTTCTCCTGATAATTAACAAGGCCTCCCCAGGGTATGAAGAGAACATGCACAGATACCAGAAGGCAGCTAAGCTCTTCCAGGGGAAGGTGAGTCTGGGATGGGATTGACTCCTCACCACAAGGACATGAGAAAAAGGAAAATGGGACCAGGGAAGCAGAGATGAACAAAGAGAACAAGTATGGTTAAGATATATCAAAATAAGAGCTGCAACATAATAAATCACATTACTCTGATTTGAACTTAAAGATATTATAGATGTTATATTTTGTGCTATTAAAGGCCTATATTATTATATCTTCCCTTAGTGATGAGTCCATTTCTTTTTTTCTTCACTGATAGATGGAGAAACATTAGAGACCCAAAGATACTGAAAAGAAAAATCACCTATTAATCACAATGTATTTACTCTTTGCTATATCTCTTGGAGTTTTGGACCTCTGAGCTTATTTATCACACAAAACACCTATCACATGCCTCATGCCTACTTTTGTTGATGTTAGGTGCCGTCGAGTTGGTTCCAACTCATAGCGACCCTACGTACAAGAGAACAAAACACTGCCCAGTCCTGTACCATCCCCACAATCATTGCTACGTTTAAGCCTGTTGTTGCAGACACTGTGTCAATCCATCTCATCAAGGGTCTTCCTCTTTTTCGTTGACCTTCTACTTTACCAAGCAAGATGTCCTTCTCCAGCGACTGGTCCCTCCTGATAACATGTCCAAAGTACATGGGACGAAGTCTTGCCATCCTTGCTTCTAAAGAGCATTCTGGCTGTACTTCTTTCAAGACACATTTGTTCATTCTTCTGGCAGTCCATGGTATATTCAATGTTCTTCACCAATACCATAATTCAAAGGCATCAGTTCTTCTTCTGTCTTCCTTATTCATTGTCCAGCTTTCACATGCATATAAGGCACTTGAAAATATCATGGCTTGGGTCAGGCGCACCTTAGTCCTCAAATGCCTACTAGGTGTCCAATAAATCCTCATTTCTTCCTCTTCCCTACTTTGTGTCATTTAGCTTGATACCACTTAAACAGTAAGACTTCAACCACTTCAAGGCTATGGCATTGGATTAGCAACCTCTGTAATGATAAGAACTGTCAAATAATAAAATAAGTTACCTTGCTGGTAGTTGATTCTCGAACGCTGGAATTATTCAGAGTGCTACCGAATGTGAACAATCCTCAGAATTTATAAAGATTACTACTTTGGGTAGAAGGTTTGAGTTAACATAAAATAGTTAACATTTATCACTTACTCTATGACAAGAGGAGTCCGCTGTTTAGCTGCTGAATGAAACGTTGGAAGTATGAGTCCACCCAGAGTGCCTCAGAAAAAAGGCCTGTAGTCTACTTCCAAAAAACTCAGTCATTGAAAACCCTATGAAGCACAGTTCTAGTCTGACACACATGGGGTCACCATGAGTCAGAACAGACTCAATGGCAACTGGTTTCATTTTTTATATGCCAAAAATTGTGCTAAAAATATTAAATATACCATCTCATTTAATCTCCCCCAACATAAGCTTAATGATAATACTGAGTCTCAGGGAGGTTGAGTAACGTACCTAAAGTCACACAGCTAGACAGTGCTAGAGACAGGATTTTAAACTAGTTCTCTGCTTTTAATCTTTAGGCTAGACTTCTTCACTTAGATAATCACTAAAGTCTTCCAATTCTATATTGTCAAAATTAAATGAATTTAACCAATGGGAATAAAACATCAAAGCAACGCAAAATAATATAAAATTGATTTCAACTCAATTGAGATTTTAATTGTGTGACACAGATCATAAATTCGATCAATTTAAACTGCAATGATTACAAGTATCTTTTTTTATCCCCAGGATCTCAAATAGATCTTTCTCTTTCAACCTTCTCCAACTGCAGATTCTTTTTATTCTGGTGGACAGTAGTGTGAAGGGAAATGGGAAACTGATATCATTTTTCAAACTTAAGAAGTCTCAGTTGCCAGCCTTGGCGATTTACCAGACTGTGGACGATAAGTGGGATACATTGCCCATAACAGAGGTCTCAGAGGCGCAAGTGCAAAACTTCTGTGATGGATTCCTACGGGGGGAACGATTGGTAAGTGTGAGACTACACATTAAAGCCAGCTAGCTTTTCTTCCTCTCTTTGTCCCTTTTAGGAGTCCCTGGGTGGCGCAAAAGAGCCTTGGTAGTGCAGTGGTTAAAGCACTCTGCTAACCCAAAGGTCAGCTGTTCAAACTCACCAACCGCTCCACGGGAGAAAGATGTGGCAGTCTGCTTCCATAATGATTACAGCCTAGGAAATCCAATGGGGACAGTTCTACTCTGTCCTACAGGGTCAGTGTGAGTCAGAATGGACTCAATGGCAAAAGGTTAGGTTTGGTTGGGTTGGGTTGGGTTGGTGCAAATGGTAAAGTGCTCAGCTGCCAGTCAAAAGATTGGCAGTCTGAACCCATGCACATACCTTGGAAGGAAGACTTTGCAATCAGCTTCCGAAAGCCCACAGGCTTGAAAACAGTTCTACTCTGCACACAGGTCACCATGAGTCGGAACCCACTTGACAGCAACTGGTTTGTTTTTTTGTTTGTTTTTTTATGTCTCTTTTATTTCCTGTTGATTAGGAATTGTTTAGGCTCTACTGGATTTGATTAAGAGCAAAGGTACACGAGGTTGTGGTGGTCAGAGTCAGGATGTATATTAGGATACAGTCAAGGAATAGAACTAGAAAAAGCATTTTTGGAAAGATTTTGCATATTCAAAGGAGATGAATTTTTTTTCCCACCATTCCATTTAAGGTATCAGTGAGAGAAAAATCAAATTCCATCTAAAAGAGTTAATGAGATAAAATTGAAGATGGATTTAGGAGTCTCATACACTTTAGTTTGTTAATCTCAGCTCAGAAATGAGAGTGAGCTCCAAATCTAACTCTCAGTGTTGTGATATTTTTCAGAGAGAAAATGATGAATCGGGAGAAAAGGCTCAAAAGGTGGAACTCTGATTTCTCCATGACACTTCTGCATACTACCAAATATCTACTTTATGCTGAATACAAACGGGCAACTCAAACCTCAAAGACACTAAACAGGATCATCAGGCCTTCCAACCACACACACACATACGCTCACACACACACACGCACACACACACTCACATGCATGCACACACACTTGTACACACATACACACTCACATGCACACACACACGCACACACACCCTGCCCCATTTTATTCCTTATAATCTCATTTGCGCGCTTTCCTTCTCCTTTTGTTTTTTTATTTTCTTTATCTCTCACTATCTACCCAATTTTCTTATAAGCGTTCCTACTGTGTAGTTTCATCTGTAATATCACTGGATGGAGGCTTTCAGATAAATACTGTGATACCTACAAAGGAGACACATTTTTAGAGAGAGATTGTGCTGGCTTGTCATTTAACACCGAATTTGTACCCTTTGTGACTTACACACAACACAGTCTCTGCTCTTTTGGGGTGACTGAAGGGTTGAAGCTCTACCTTACCTCACAAGCATAGATGCCCTCTCTGACTCAGGACCAAGAACAAAAGAATGGTTTTAAACAGCATTTGGGAATTAAGTCTTTTTTGCCAGAAGTTAAATGAGGTTTCCAAGACTCTGAACTCAGCAGAAACAGACCATGTACAAATTCCATGCTTATTTAGCATTCCCAACTCCCTGTGTAAATCAACAGCTCGTATAATAAATAAAAGGCAATCATGTTATAGGAAAGGCCTGGCATCTCTTTGTCAGCCAAACCTTTTGTAAATACTCAGCTGCCCAGCTAAGCAGTAGGTACCTCACCCTTCAATGCCCACTGTTTAGTATTACACCTTATGCCACTAATGTGTTATTGTTTATTCTGTGGGTGGCATGGGAGGTGGGTAGAGGCCATCCTGCATGAGATTGGCATAAACGTAGCAAAATATTTAGGCATCGATTTAGGTAAAAGTTTGGGGAATGGGTAGGAGTTGGGGAGCTGTGGTGGGCTGGGGTTGACTAAGCCATGGATTATTGCAGATGAGGTGTGCAGTCCAGCCCATAATGGACAGAGGGAGTGTTTGGCCAAGTGTCTCTGGCCCACAGGCTGTTACTGTCAATACACAGATGCTACATTGTTCCCAGGAGGCTCTTGGCTCAGAAGAAAAGTGCCTAAGTGCTGAAGAGCTGAAAAACCACAGATGTACACATAAGCACTGGTCCAAGTGAAGAACGGAATGAAAGGCATGGCTGTTCTCTTCTGTGGGGATAACTCCACAGCCTAGAAGTTGGAAGTCAGCTGCTGGCAATGACGCTTTGAAAGCAGCAGTGTACAGCACACCTTTCAGAAATATGAGGCTGAACTTCTAAGGGGTCACGCAGTCTATCCACAGGGCCGCCCTAAACCACCAAACAGCCTTTTGCTTGAGGCTGAAAAATATTGCTAGGGCAAGCACATCCCAGAAGCCTTTATTTGGTCATGTAAGCCAGAGTTTCTGACATTCTCAGTCAGGAAATTCTTCCTGATATCTAGTCTAGGTCTTCCAGCCACGCAAGCTTGTTTCTTCTCGTCTACCTTCTGTGAACCACCGCTGTCTCTCAGTTTATCATACTATGCCACTGGTATTTCAAATATGAGTAGGATCACCAGTGGTGGACAGGTATCAGTGGAGCTTCCAGACTCAGACAGACTAGGAAGGGCCTGGTGATCTACTTCTGAAAATGAAAACCCTAGGGACCACCACAGAACATTGTCTGATTACCAACAATCAGGAAGATGGCACAGGACCAAGCATGTTTCATTCTGTTATACATTGGGTTGGAGCCAACTCAATGGCAATTAACAACCCTCTATGGAAATTCTTAACAGCTGCCAGTCACTATCTGGCAAAAGACACCTTCAACTCCTTGTTGGTTACTCTTAAACCCCCTTATCCAGTTTTCTTTTCTCCATACTCACAATCCAACTTCCTTATCAATTCTTTATTTCCAAGTCCTTTGATTCATTTCTTTATTTTTCTCTCTTTTCCAACTTTCCCCCTTTCTTGCTTAAAATATTAGGACCCCCAAACTATTGTAAGGATTTGGCAAATGCCAAAGAATAAATGCCCATGAGCTATGTTTTGTTTGGGGAGTACTTGGGTGGTGCAAACAGTTAAGGCTTTCAGCTGCAAAGCAAAAAGTTGGCAGTTTGAGTCCACCCAGTGATGATTCAGAAGAAAGGCCTAGCGATCTACTTCTGAAAAATCAGCCACTGAAAACTCTATGGAACATAGTTCTACTCTGACACACATGGGGTCACCATGAGTCAGAATTGGCTCAACAGCAACTGGCTTGTTTTTTTTTTTGGAGGGGGTTGTATATTTTGTTCAATATTGGATTAATTTTTCAATTATTGTATTTGAAGTGTTCCCCTCAATGACTATGGTCCACATTGAACACATAGATCTAAATATCTTCACGGTATATTTTGCTGCTTGATGAAATTCAGTAGCAAAGTATTACACATTCTCTTTTGTATGCTTGGAGCCCTGGTGGCACAGTGGTTAAGAGCTCAGCTGCTAACCAAAAGGTTGGCAGTTTGAATCCACCAGCCACTCCTTGGAAACCCTATGGGGTAGTTCTATTCTGTCCTGTAGGGTCACTATGAGTCAGACTTGACTAGACGTCAACAAGTTTGTTTTTTGGTTTTTTGGGTTTGTATGCTTATTTAGTTGTTTCATGTGTTTATGTTATTGAATTGAATTATTCCTTCTCAGTTTGTGGCTCTCCAAGAACCACCAGATATTATAGCCTGTCTTCTTCACATCCAATCTGTTCCTTGTAGTTTTGGGGACTCATCATCACATGAGTGGAACTTCCTCAGAAAGAAGAGATTTCTGAAGATTCTCATGTATTCACTAAAAATCAGACCCAGGATTACAAAATTCCACAGTTTCTAAACTCTCTCTGTCTTTGGGTAATTTCTTCCGAAGACTGTCCATTTTTCCCCAGGGCTATATTACTCTTGTACTTTCTAGATACATTTCAGCTGTTTTTCATTGTGGAATCATTCATTGGCCCTCACTGACAACACTGCCATACTTTTTCTTTAAGGTACTAAGCAGTAATGTTGTGCAATAGACCTTTGGAAAAGATATGGACAGATTTGAAAGACTGTGATAAAAAGCAGTGGAAACAGGGAAGGACTCCGAAGAATGACAGGAAAGTTAGTGTTTGAACCGCAACACTTCTGTGTGTGTGGCTCTGTGACCTGGGGAAAACCACCACTTTCTATCTTTGAACTTCAAGTCAGTGACAATAGTAGTTCATAGGATACTTTAAGAACCCAGGGCGATAATAAATATTAAGTAAAGGCTTGAGGAGCTCTGGTGGCACAGGGGTTAAGCACTTCACTGCTAACCAACAGGTCGGCCGATTGGAACCCACCAGCCGCACTGCAGGAGACAGAAGTGACAGACTGCTTCCGTAAAGATTACAGCCTTGGAAGCCCTATGGGGCATCTCTACTATGTCCTGTAGGGTAGCTAGGATTAGGAATCGACTCAACAGCAACAGGTTTTGGTCATTACCTTTGTTCCACATAATACTATACTGTCTTCTCTGGATAACAGTCATTTCTTCAAATCTTGTAATTTATGGAAAAGAAAGGGCTTCCTTCAGGGTCTTTCTTAAATGAACTTGCATGAGAGGTCTCCACACCTGATGTTGGAGAAGTATTTGAGATAACTCTAACATCCACCTATCATGGGGTTCCTTTCCCAGCTCTCCTAGTTGGATTATGCTACATAGGAAAGCATGCTGTCTTCATCATGACCCTGTTTAATATACATATACCTTGGGGGTAGAGGACATAGAGTAGAGTGGGTGCAAAGTGGGGTATTATGAGACAGCAGTTTATGTATTCATTTACTCATTCATTCATTCAAATACTTATTAACCAACTACAGATGTGCCAGGGAAAAGTTGTCTTCTAATAAAACAGAGTAAACCCGGCCTTAGGCGAGCTGCAGAACAGGGAAGTAGAGACAGCAGGCAATAAGGAAGCCACCAGACTAGTTCTGGGCCATGGACAGAGAGCAGCACAGCAGGGAAGCCTGTATAAAGGAGAAGAGGGATGGGCAGGAGGCTGACAGTGGGCTGAGGCAGTCCCAGAGTTGAGGGAGGAAGAGCCGCATAAGGAAAAATTCTACCAGCAAAGGGAAGAGGCTCATCATAGACAGACTTAATTTTACAGTTGAGTCTGGAACCAGTCCTACTTCACTCTTCTGAAAGTATCTGGTTTCTAAGCAGATAAGAGTAAAACAGGAAGTGGAATGGATCTGACTCATGCTCCTAACTGCAGAACTTTTCCATGGAGGGACCTAGAGGGTAGAAGAAAGAGGAAGTTAAACACTGACCTATTTTGAGCTTTGAACCTTTGGAGGAAAAGTACTCTAGCAATCAAAGAAAAAAAAAAAGAATTTTAAAATCATATCTCCGTAAATTTGAAGGAGATTCATCTTTCTTCAAATCATTTCTAAGACAGGCCAACATGTCACTCTTCTCTTTCCCTTCTGCAACGAAGGTCATTGTTTTTCTGGACTCAGTAATGAAATATCTGAGTCTACTAGAAGTGGAGGAGTAGAGGTAAGTGAAGGGTTAGGAGGTTAAGCTAAGTCAAGGGCTACAAAAAGTTTTATGGAATCCAAACTTCAATGTTTAATAATTTAAACAATTGCACTAAGTCTTAATAAAAAATGAAACTCATTGCGGTCAAGTCGATTCTGACTCACAGTGACCCTATATAGCAGCATTCAATTTCTACGTAAGGCCCTCTGATCTTAATATAGTAACACAGTGTAAGCCTGGGCTTGAGGAAGAGAAAGTAGGCTGGTTATGACATAATTCTAGCTGTGGTGAAGTAAGAATTCTAAAGTCAACAAATATGTCACATGTCATGTTTTCCAGAAAGAACACTCTGAGACTGAATTTCCTTGCAGGGAGTTTACTGGGAAGTGTTCTTGGGTTCAAACCCTGTGGGGAAATGAAGGAAGATACCAGGGCTGGAAAAGGAGAAGTTGGGCTGTGATGCAGTCATAACAAAGGCTCATATTATCCCATGGGAGATTTGGTGTTGAGGTGTCACTGCAGAACGATCCTGAATTTAGGAATGAGAACCAGCCCTTATGCCCCTACATTGATCATTTGATGTGACTGCACCCAGGAAAGGGGCATGTTCTTGGGCAGTATAGTTTGCTTCAGCAGAGAGTCATCTCTGGGTGGACGGCACACAGCTGAGAACTGTCAGGTGCCATCACTCGGAACAGCTAGGGGAAGAGTGCTTCTGTTCTAAAGTGTGTGTGTTTGGGGTGGGGGGTGTTAATCTGTATACCTCATCACAGCATTCACTACACATGCGTGGCTCTAGGACAGTGTCTTCTTTCGGGTTATCATAGTAATCATGACACCAATGCTATGCAAAAGGGTGAGGAAAAAGTGAATTTATTTTATCAAATAAAATATGCATCACCCTCTTTGAGTTGAGGTTGGGGGAGAACATATGATTATGTTGTCTTCACACAAAGGATTAGAACAGACTTCTAGGGGCAGTACAAGAGTGTTCATTCTCAAAGTCATTCACTCATTCATCCCTTCATCAACAATTTATTGAGCAGCTATCATGAGATGAAGATATACTGGGAAATACATGAGATCACACACAGCACAATGTTGACTCTACCTCTTCCCA